AAAAAAAATATGCAAATTTGTTGCTCGCCAGTCTTTTTCTCTACAAAGGAAAAAGTCTGTTATTTGCAAAGTTTTTAGCTCTTAAATTGTAACCTCAAAATTACCCTTCTTTTTCCTTAATCATTAATTTTCCTTAATTTTTCACTTTTGATAGGTGTGTGAGCTCTCTTGAAAAGATGAGGCTTAAGAGACAATACGGACTCCACTGTACCTTCATGTTTCCAGCGTCTTGAAAACATCTTTCTACTGGAACATAATCGTGGTGATGTCGATATATCATCTAATTACATTAGCAAGTATTATCAAAAAGGTTCTAGAGAATGTGATATCACCAGATTTTGCTTTTTTCTCGAAAATTCTTGACTTCGATCGCACTATCATTTTTTCGCCTGTCGCTAAGAACAAGGCACAAGCAGCTGCCTCAATCTTGCAATACTTTCTGTGAATTCTCTTCTAAGAGTCATGCAGTATTGACATCCGTGTGGCCTTCTAGACAAAATCAGGGTCATAAATCTGTTATCAGCTATCAGCAGTTTCTCATCTTGTTAGCAATCCAGTGCGACAGAGCTTGTTTGTTTTTAAGTGCTTATGTATTTATGTATAAGTAGGAAATATCTGTTAAAGGTGCTGCGCGGCTATTTGGGATTGCATCTGCACACCTCGACCATTTAGGTTCATAAATTCTTTTTGTAAAAGGAGATGCTAGTAAAGTATCTGTTTGTTTTCATCACGCAGTAGATCAGTATGACTAGACATCACCGTCAGAGCTGCAAGAGCCAGGGCTCCAATATCGATACTGCGCTCTGGAAAGATAACAGTTCCTCGCACATCTTTCCTGTTTTCTCACTAAATTCTGAAAGCTTCTTGATTTCTTCTTCCATATTTACAGATCATTACCATGCCTTGGCTCGATGCCTGGAGCTAGCGTGGCGTGCTGGTCATGTTGACCAAGCAGACAAATTCCTTAAAAAAGCTATTGAGAATAATCCACGAGCCTCCGTTGACGCTGGATATAACTACTGCAAGGGATTGCATGAATGGTTAGCATGTTTAATATTTTGATACCAATGAGAGATGGCTGTTTTTTCTTCGCTTGACCCCATTTATATTCTCATTACTGCGCGGGAAAATAAATTGTGTGAATCAAAAGCAGTAGTCTTTGTCCACATCTGTCGATGTCTTTACAGACAGTAAACACACGAACTACTGTCCATCTTTTCGTGGCAGCTGCTGCGCGCAGAGACTATAACTATTTCGCAGTCTGCTCATAATAGCCAGCAAGATTTCTCAGAGATTTATAATTGTGCGCTTAAGACACTGTTGCAGGTATTCTGGAGAACCGAATGCCGCTTTGCAAGCGTTTAATCGAGCTCGCCGTGATCTTGAATGGGGTGAGAGAGCGTTGTACAATATGATAGAAATTGTGCTCAATCCCGATAACGAGATAATTGGCGGAGAAGTGTTGGACCACGCCGAGGAGAAGTGAGAGATTTCAAAGTTAATACTGGTTTAAAGAGTTAACATGGTAGTCAGTTGTTGGGGATATACATAAATCAGCGGTCAGAAATCTTCGCATCTGACAATTTGCACCATTCTTGGCAAGCGCAACTTTGTTGGTTATTTGAAAAGAAATTTAAGCTGCTCGCCCTTTTTTCGCTCTCGCTGCGCATAAAGCATCTTCGTTACTAAATTAATTCAAAGCAATAACTTTGCAAGTATTAAGTTGAAATGTTTT